ATGAATCAGTAGTAGCCCATTGAACCCTCGTTATCGGGCGTTCGGCAGAGCATTCGTTGTTGAAAGGGACGAGGGACTTGGCAGAGAGAAGGAAATAACTTTATGTCAACGTCGGGCGCTTTGGCCGCGTTTGCTTTGCTGGTCTATATATACACACAGGCTGTATTCGCTCGCGTCCGACGTTCGGCAGCAGACACCGCGCCACCGCAGCCGTTGGCCCGAGTCACCACTTCTCTGACTAACTTTTCCTCGTAAACTCCAAGAAAAGAAGAGAAGCTCTAAGGGTAAGCTCAAGCGTAAAACTGTAGCAATCAGCCAAGCTGAGGACAGCCGACCTTAGTTGTACGGCCAACAACGCGAGATGGAAAAGAGAATGGAAAAAAGCAAGAGGGAAAATAAAAGAACGCTTAGTAAGTCAAGCAGCTCAAAATCCGAGACAACGAGCGCCGCTGGAGACGACGCGCGTACTCTGCTAAAAATGCTACTACTGTTCCCTTTGTACGGGCACAGAAGCTTGCCTCGGTCCGCAACTGCCTCTAAATGCAAAGCCACTAGCCAACCATCCTGATGCCTACGACTGCTTCTGCTGCTGCTGTTGTTGAACCAATCGGGTTTTCCATCCATCTCTGTCTCGCGCAACCAACCTGATCAGGCCGTACTGCGTCGGTAGTGATTGCCCCCTAACAAAGCATTGGGGTTGCTTTGTTTTGCCTTGCCAGCCTTTGCAGCGCCATCGCGCAATTCCGCCAGAAGCCCAGATTGGGCACATATCGTCGTACACATGCACGCGATCAGAAGCACGGACATTGCTTTGCGTGTAACGCCGAAAACTAAATTAAATGTCAGTAAATAGGGACGGCAAGCAACAAAACCAGCTAGGACAAAGTAGCGTGAGATTGATTGGCAGCGAGTTTATCGGCTCGAGCCACTGCTGACAATAAAACAGTAAAATATTTTACGTGTTTTTTTCCGATCTTAACTATAACTGTGTGATGTGTGGTTGTTTAAAAAGCATATTGACCACGTTTCTAGAGTTAAGATTATATTATAGAAACCAGAAGACTAGCAGTAAAACTGGGCGAATCTGACCCAGCGGACTTTGATGTCTGTTCTTCCATATTTCACCATCCTTGTTTCTTTCTATCTTCCCCATATTTGTTCTAGGCAAACGTACTGCGCAAGGGAATTTTTTAGTGAAACCTATGCAGCTTATTTTAAGCAATTACTTTCCAGCTTTGATAAGGCACGTGTATTAACTTAAGCATATATATATTAAACTTATATATCATCGGAATATTTGCCGACAACAGTACTAGCTTAATCTGGCAGCGAAATTAGCCTTATATGAGTTACATGCGTGTGGTTACGTTGTGTATGTAAGCCTATTTCTATATTTGACACATTGAGATGGGTTTTACCCCACCCAGTGTAACAACACACGCATAAACATACTGGTTTGCAGTAATATGAGTATTTCGAAAAAAAAGTTGCACGATTTGCTTTTTTTGGGACGTGCATCTGTCTTTGATCGTCGACTCTACGTAGTTGTCGATCATAGCGATGATACACTATGATTTCTAAGAAGAAATACATGAACTGCTTCACCACTTCAAAATACAGCAGTGATGCTCATCCACTGACCCCGCCCATCTTCGCTTTGGGCTGGCTCGATTTCCGGCGCTCTACCCCTTCTCACTTCGAATGCCAAGGAAATGGAGTGGAAAAGTCAACCGAATTTGATATTGACTTGATTCAAAGTGAAGGCAAAAGCCTAGACGAAGTGTCGGAGGGTTAGGATGCCTTAGGTCGCACACGTCACCATTGCAGACTTGTAATGTAATGTCTCGATGTAGCGGTGAGATGTTTGGCTTGGGTGGCGTTGACAGTCGGCTGTTTCTCGAGCATGACCGAATGCTTGTTAAATCGAGCTTCCTTGCTTTTTTTCATTGGAGAATTTGTTAAAATTTGCAGAAGGGGGCTTGATCACGACGTAGAACGATCAATCCAACTAGGCTGACATCGCCGATCGAGTCGCAGATCGTTGACCAACAAATTTAGACGACTCATTCGTATTAACAGTAAAGTAGAAACCCAACTAAAGCCCAGCCATTTTAGAAGGTCAAACGGACTTTACATTAGCTTGTGTCATTAATAAAAAAAATTAGAAACTTGTTCCGGTCGTCCTTCCTATGATACACACTATTATAATAATGGTATAGTGTAAAAGTGCTCCTTGAAGAAATATGCACGTAACGTAAAGGACTACGGATATCATAGTTTCTAGCCGGGCGGCAAAATTATGTCTAATAAGACCTTTCATTTTCGCACATTTAGTGGCTGCATGGCCTAATCCAATTATGAAACTGCTTGAGCAACAGCATATCAATGCAAGCCTGAGACCTGAGATATATTTTACATCCTTACTAGTATATAATAACTATTTATTATAAATATATTATTGATATATACACTTAAGGTAACCTACGTACGAACTGATAATAGAGTTTGTCGTTATAATATGCGATTTTCATTCCGCTTGAGGCAGATAGCTCAATAGATGCACAGACATTTTTTATTTTATCTATTTATTTCCGCCTTCACGTCCCTCTCCATTGCACTTCTACACGACTCCAGCCCATATCGTTCATAAATACGTCTAATAAAAATAAAAGTCAGATCGCGTTGCAACCCCCTGGCGCTTGCTTCTTGAGGGTTTGCCCGCTGCTCTGGCTGCTGTTCCCCGCGCACTCGCTCTAGTGAGCTCCGTTACAACGACGTCGGCTGCAGTTTCCATACCGCTGCTGGTAAGAGACTCTGTCTGATTCAGTCAGAACACTCACTACCACCTTCGCCACCGGCTCCATGACGATCGTAGCTGGACCGCCTATGCGTCGCGCGGACACTGCAGACCGCCCTCTTCCTTTTAGACATTAGCATTTTAAAATCGTAATTTACTCCTCCTCGTTTTCTTCGTCGTCTCGCGTAGTCTACTTTTTTCTCTTCGTTGGCTAACACACAGACGAGATATATTGCGCGGGCGAATACGACGATCGACAACGGATCGACGCTGGCATTAGCCCAGCAGCGATAAATGAAGTCGAACGAGATAAAGGTGGATAAAAAAAAAGGGAGATCCGCCGATTCAAGTGCCCAGACACGCAGACACATGTCCATAGGCGTGTGAGGGACAAGGCAACAGCGAATCGACCCTCATCCGCTTCTGAAAACGCTTATCAGAGACGGCGCACTCACGGCGGTTCTGCTTCGCTTTGCTTCGAGTCGTTGGCCCTCGTGCCGCTCTGCATCGGCGTGTGTGTGTTGGTCCGGTATTCCCATCTGTAGTTTTTGTTGTTATTCTTTCCATTCGTTTCCTCAGCGGCAGTTGCAGCAACAGCTTCGCTCGTTTTCTGTTTCTCTCGCGCGTTGCTTCGTGCGTCTCTTTCCTCTTCCCCTCCTCTGGCCACTGGTCTTCATCGTCGAAGCTCGCCGTTTCTCTCGTAAAATGTTCTCCTTTTTTGCGTTCTCCTGAATCCCTTCAATCTTCCTGTGCTTATTTCTCTTTTCATTGTCAATATTTTTCCCTCCATTCGAAATTTCTAGGATTGCTCTCCGGCGTCGAATCCGACCCAAATGCCCCTGCCCCTTAAGTTTTTTGTTTTTCATACGAAGATATGAGCATATATGTATGTACGAGCGCGTTCCGTGTCTGCATGAACAGTGGGTTTGTGTTATTCCCTATAGATACACACGGAAACATGTCATGTACACAATGTGACAAAATGTTTACATTCATAATTATATATATAACGAGGAGAGCAATTAGTAGTAACTAATTAACCGAGAGCGAAATAGAAGGTGGAAGAGAGAGAGCGGGGCGGGAAAGGGGGGACGGAGATTCTCGAGCCTATAGCACCTGCGGAGAGCTCACTGGACAAAGTAGCCAAGAATTCCCTGTTTCTCGAACTTTTCCCCCGCTTCGTGGTTTACCCTTTGCCTCATTATCTTTTTTTCATTCTGTTAAAGAAATAAAGTACGATGTCCATAGCTCAAGTCGCGAGCCATTCTGTTGAGGAGGGAGACTGGGCCGTACGGCCGTTTTTTGTCACGGGGTAAAGCTCTTTCCTTTGGGGCCAAGCGGTCTTAATCATCGGTTTTGACATGAAGTTTAGCCAGCGTATATAAGAATTGTCTCTGTGATGAAAGAAGATTGCAAATAGGGCACCAAAGGAATGGGTAGTGCGAGAAGGGAAAGAAGTGACCATAAAATAACATTGAAAGACATAGCTATATTTTAACGCACTGGATGGACACTGTCGAGTGTGCCTAGCTGGGCTGCAAGCATCCTGCAGGAGGTCGGGGTGTTTTAAGAAGAGAAGAAAGGATATTCAAAAGTGAGCCAAAGTGCTGCAGTAGTACCGACATTAGAAGCAGCTCGGAATACGGAATGCTGCACTCCTGCAGAAGAAAAGTGACACTCGTCGTCATCAATGGGCAAACAGGACACTGCAACTATCTCGGGTAACGCTAGGTCATCCGCTATAAACGAATAGATAGCGAGCTGAAACAATGCACGATGGCCATCTGAACGGGATCCACTACCCTACCTCACATCGGCAGTATATTAAAGCGCATGAAACCTTACGAGCAGAGAGGTTTTGTGAGAGGTTATTGTCATTATGGAGATGAAAAAAATAAATGATAATGATAAATCAAGGACTCGAAATAAACGAGCATTCGAAGAAGGTGTAATGGCTCCGATTTCGTGTCGAAAGATCATTGGACGCATTGTCATTTACCACTGAACATTAACGTTTGTTACTATCAAATGCTTTGCGAAAGATTCGAAAATAGAATACGCTATACGGCTATATACGGTACTTTGACGTATATGGTGTTTTTATCATACGATCAGCATCTATACTGGAAATGCTGATTAGAATCCATCTGTTCTTGGTCACACTGAAAGCATAATGAAAACGGTACCCTGTTGTATTTAATAGGAGACCCGTCGAAAATCTCGTTGATGAGTCCACAACAACAGCAGGCCATTGCCGCCGCCCAGCATCTGCAGCTGCTCTCCCAGCTCCATCCGCAACTGCAGAGTCAGCTTCAGGGTCAATTGGGCCAGCTGCAGGGTCAGCTTCCCCCGAGTCTTCAGCAGCAACAACAGCAGGCCCTGCTCAACGCCGTCGCGCTGGCTGCCAATCGTGGTCAACTTGCCACTCAGCATCATTCCGCGACAAACAGTCTCGCGCCCGCTGCCGTTGCTGCCGCCGCCGCTGCTGCAGCGGCAGTCGCCCACCAACAGAGTTCCGCGCACCATCATCACACAGCCGAACCACAGCAGCAACAGTCGCCGAACTGTACCAGCTCATTGAAAGACAAGTAAGTACCAACTTTCCTTTACATTGACCTACCCCCGGCGTCCATTCTAGTGATCTGGACGTTGATCAGGAACGTCGCTTTAAGGAAGCCACTAGAATATGATTTCATTATATTGCATTCGTATAATTATATACATTCATTTTGCTTGTAGAAAATCTGTCATTGTTCTGCGAACATGCAAGGACAGCAATTAGAGTTTGGTACAGATTAGTCAAGCTTTTATGCGGGATAGGTGTGCCGGGTGTGAAGAATGTCATAGCTGTGGTTTTGACGATATCGATTTTTCAAGTTGGGCCTTTTGTCAGGACGATGGTCAGTCGGGCGTCGTGTGAGGAACTGAGGTTGGATGGGATGAACGCGAGCAGGACTATGACCATAAGACAATGAAAAGAGACCGGTACCAAGAACGGACCCAGGTGGGGAATTCTCATTGCAAAGATGAATAATAATCTTCATTCTTGCAATAATAAAAATGCTAATTTACTCGGAGACAGCCAAATAATATCGCTTTAAAGTTAGAGTGAATGACCTGTCGTCGCGGTGTGCTCAGTGGTGCTCCCTTCTATATGGAGCCAGGGCCGGTTCGATGAGTGCCCACCTAAAGTCCTCATTTGCTACTCGATATCGTGGTACCGCTATCGATATTTATAGTAACTAGGACGATTCGTGTATATTTTATTTAAGCCACCAATCAGTTGTACCGAAGTGACCTAGTTTCAGTATTACGAATTCACGATTTTTTTGCTATTTTGCTTCAGCCGATTGTTGCTTGAATGAGTCACTGCTGGCCGATCGGTAACATCTTGCTACTTCATTAAATCCGATCTTTACTATGATTCTAATTAGCCTCGGGCTTGATAGTGTTGTGCTTATCGATTACTATGGCAGCAGTAGCACTGTCCAACTGCGTCCATATGATGCTACGACGACTGATGCCTTTGATTTTACCGTAACGTCCGTTAATTACCTACGACTGGTCACACCTGGTGATATCCTAGTGCTTGTTATCGCTACTACTGCTATGCAACTAAGGAGAAATTGGGCTCATGTCTACCTTCGATGTCCGGATCCATTATGGGCTTTCATCGAGACGAGGCGAGTAAACGATCGGCAACAAAGGAGCACCCACTGGCCAGGTTGTATGATATTATTACCGGCATTTTGGCCCTTTTAAATCTTCGCTTGACCAAAATCAGTTTCGGCCTTACATTTGAACTGAGTAGAGCTTCCTTTCGGCCTGTGCGTTGGTCGCCTATTGATCATAACATGAGAAACAAAGAGAAATTCATTGATTTTGTGTTGTTTTGAGGAAATTCTAGAGTCATGTCATCTATGCAGGCTACCTGTCTGTCTGTCTGTCTGTGAGGGCTGCTAGTTTTTTCTGTATTTGTCCTTAGATCAAGAGTAATGACAGGTCCACTGTTCACTGGGACTGCAAATGAGGATGCAAAAAAAAACGCTTTCTCGTCTCCACTTAACTTATTTCGCTTTTCTGCCCCTGTTCTACAACAAGACGAATGCCCTTGTCATAGGACGGACCCGGACGTTTCGGCTGTCAGGACAAACACGGAGGAGCGACATGGCTCTGAAATCAGAACGAGAAATTAAATGAGGAACTGCGCTGGTATAGGAAGGCGGGATTGGAAGAAAAAATGAGTGAGAAAGAGAGAGAAATCACACGGATTTAAAAAAAATGATCAATTTCGAGTCATTAATCAACCCCGCCGGCTCTAGGCCGTCTCCCTGCGACCCTCGCCTTTTTCGAACCCCTATTACATATTGGGAGGTACGAGCACCGTTCCGCATAGACAGAGCTCATTCTATTCAATAGTTGCCGCAGGCGCAAATGCTAAAAAAGAGGAAGATTAACAATAATATAACTAATAAGAGGGGGAGACCGTACGACTATAATTCCGTATAAAAGCCATAGTACCAACACATCTCGTATTGCATAATGATTTCATTATAAGTAATATATGTGTACATATATATAATAATTAAATCTTGCTTCTCCATTTGTATCGTTAGAAATGATTTTCTAAATAGCAAATGTAGGCTTTAGGCGAGACATCGATGCAGGCGGTAAAGGAAGGATCTGCCAGGTGTAACTGGAATGACTTAATGAATTAAGGCCGTCTAGCAGTTTCCATGCGCTGCGTTGCCGGGATTGAAACTAAAGTTGGAACAATGGTTTCGCTCGTTACCGACAAACTTGCTTGGAAGCAAATTTTCGTAAGGCATACACAACGGAATGTTATTATCTAACCAATAGAGAGTTTATCAGGAGAGGTTAACGACGAAGTGGACTGCTGATGTGGTGGATGGACGCTTTTCCAATAAGTCTCTCCAGTAAGCTTTCTTCCGTGACGACGCGACGTCTTTGCCAGTCAAATTAAGAGACACGTTAGGTGACAGAAGTTCAATATTGAAGCTGGTCATGTGTTTGCGGAGCTGCCAACAACTAGCCTAATTGAGAGGTTCAAAACCGGGTTAGGGTCCACCTGCTTCGTTTCGTGCTGGGTCCGGCCGTCTAAACCAACGTTTAGGGGGATATAGCGTACGTAAAATTCGAAACATTTATTTAGCTCATTCAAGAATCAAATGTTAGCTTTGGCTGTGCTCTTTTCTACTTAAGGCGACAATTCAGTCGGTTGTTGTTGTGTCAGGTGTTAGATAAGTTGAAATTAAGAAAACGTTAAATATCATTTAACAGCCATAACGTTTCGAGCACGCATTTTAAGCCTACGAGAAAACCTTGAGGCCAGCTAGCTTTAGGTAGTGCCCTGTATTCACATTGTTTCACTTCATGGAAGTCATTGTCAACTTGTCGGTAGAAAATCTGTCCAAAGGCCTTCTCGCCGCGTTTGTGGGTTTAAATGTAGGATTTGCATCGCAGAGACCTTTAGCCACACACAGAGAATATATAGATGACACTTACAAATTCCTTATACAAATAAGCAAATTTCTTTGTCGAATATCTCTTTATGGCATCATACTTCATGATTTTGTTCATTCATTCATTTCATCACAACAAGTCATTATACCTGTCACGAAATTGACACTTACTCTGAATTTGACAATAAGAAACAGATAACTTCCTTTCGTAGCGACAAGTGAGCATTATAGAGTATAGGTATAATTTTGAACAAGAATTTGTGGCTATTTGATTTAAGAAAACAAACTAGAAACATACTGGTGAAAAAAAGATTGCTATTTTGTCACTGGGTTCCTCTACAACATGACTGAAAATAGTGTGTAACACCCCCAGGAACGCCCTCTGTTGTATCGTCAGCTGCCTGGTAAGTTGTTGAATCAATCGTCTGTGGCAATCATTTGTTCCTTATGTAATATGCATTTAGTGATCTAGTCTAGCAGTACTTGCAGATGCTTAGTTACCTTCTATCTAGCTCAAATAAAGATCGCGCCCAGCGACAAAAAAAGACTCTGCACTAACAGCTAAATATTGGCCTGTCGACGGTTTTTATATCGAAGTTAAATAATATTTTTTGAAACAATATTATCCAATTGAATATCGTTTTTTTGGCCATTTGGATGGACTGGCTTTTGTCAGTTTTCTGGTGACACCATATTCCTGTATGCTTTCCAGAACCTCTGTGGTGTCTGGGTAAAATATTGTGACACCTAATTTTTGCATCCCTTCATTGGAACTAGATTACCGTCATTAAGATGGGTTCTGCAAAGACCGAAATAGGTGATAGAAGAACGGTGCGAAATTCGGCGTACGATGGATATTTTAAAATTTCGCACCCAAATTCTCCCAGTTATCGCCAGCTAGCTAAATATGCATGCGGTTTGATATCGTCATAATAGAAGGAAGTCGACATTCATTTCTATTCATTAGCTGCGGTCAATTTCCTTCAGAGAATTTTTGTAATCTTGATAGCTGCCGACATTAGAAATGCAAGTCAATCGTTTTGCCGGACAGCAACACTTCACAAATGCTTTCCATTTCTACTATATACTTTTTTCCTATTCTATTATACATATAGCATCTATTTCTTTGGCGTCAGTTCGGTCAGATTGTAGAGCCCAAAAATTAAACGTCTTCCCGTGTATAGCTTTCTCACAATGGTTTAAAAGTGTTTTACGGTAGATAATTCCTTGGCGACGTCATAACTGCTTATGTATCAGTCTTCCCCAAGTTGCTTAATTATTTCATCAACTTTTTTCCACAAGCGATCGACCTCGCTTCGAGGAACATCTCTTATATCGAGATTGCCAGAAGAACAGCAGCAGACAGAACTATCTTGAAATTCTTTTTGCCGATAAGGTATCTCGACTATTGACAGTATAATCTTTTACGAGCCTGGGCAGTATTTGTGGCCTTATCGTAATAAAATCCTAAAATACAATGGATTTTTCGTAAAAATCTTACTCATTTTCAAGGCGCTTTACCTTAAGTCTGAATAAAGCTATTCCATCGATTTTAGCACGTCCACTACAATCAAATGAACTTTTAGCTGACACCAATGGCGATCTGACTCGGTTTATACTATTTGCTATAAATTACTTTAAAGTCATTTAGCTAGAAAAACCGCTAGCATTTTTTCGGTAATCCCATATACAATTTTCCCAGTTCTACGTTTTTATTGCTGGTTATAACCCTGTTTAGAACTTAGGCTACCTCACGTTTCCCTAGGTTTAAATGGCAATCGCGTTTCTGCCGTACTATCACCGAGTAAAGAAAGACATGTCTTCATATTAAAGGATAGTTTAGCTAAATTGCAAACATCAGCTGGTCCCTTTCGCAATGGAGAGGGAAGTATTTTGATGTAGACTCTTTTGAAATTGTTACGAAAAGGACTGTAAAGGACGGCCGAAAAACAGACAAAAAGAAAGGACACTCCTTCGGTTTTTGGAACAGCCAGATTTTCGGCGCGGAAATCATAACGAAGCACACGTCCAGCGACGAAAATATCTTCCACGAAATAATCATCAGTATAAATATCAGAAACGCTAGCACGACTTTTCGTCGAGTT